GGGGGGGGGGGGGGGGGGGGAAGAGGGGGAAGATCTGATAGTAAAGCGTGCAGCATGTACGCGCGTGTGGGCCTCTTTTGTGATTGGTTATTGTTGTTTTTCATTCGTGTTGTTTGTCACTGTTGTTGCTTGTCGTCGTTGTTATTGTTTGTTGTTGTTCATTCGCTGTTCGTTTATTCGACTTTGTTGTTTGTTGTGGCTTTGTTGTTCGTTTGCGTTTCATTGCTGTGCGGTTGCTGTTCGTTTGTTTGTTCCCTTGTTCTTTGCTTACCATTGTCGGCTTGTTTGTTCAGTGGTGGTTCGTTTATTGTTCGTTTGTTGTGCCTTTGTCTTTCCTTTGCTTTTCATTGCTGTCCGCCGTGTCCGGTATTTGTTCGTTTGTTTTCCCCCTTGTTGTTCGTTTACTGTTGTTTGGTTGTTGTTCGTCTGTTTGTTCGGTTGTTCATTTGTTGTTTGCTTGTTTGTTCAGTGGTTGCTGTTTTGTTGCTCGTGTGTCGTCGGTTTGCTGTCCCGTTGCTCTTTGTTTGATGCTAGTGCATTGTTCGTTCGTTCGTTCGTTCGTTCGTTCGGTGGTTGTTTGTTTGTTTGTTCGTTTGTTTGTTGTTTGTTTACTGTTGTTATGTTTCTTGTTCGTGTGTTGTCTGTTCGCTCTGTTTGCGGTCGGTTTGATGATGTTTGTTCGTTGTTTGTCTGTTGCTTGTTCTTGTTTGTTTGTTTGTCATTTGTTTGTTTGTTTGTTTGTTTGTTTGTTTGTTTGTTATGTTGTTGTTGTTGCGGATCTTGCTGGTGTCTGAAGGCTCCATCCCAGGGAACAGTTGCTCGTTCACGTGTCCAGTGTAATAAAGTGCCCGCCAAACCATTCAACATGTCGTGTATCGCACACAAGGCTTTCCATCTTGAATAATCAAGAAATCTCCTCACTGAGCTTGTGATGGATGAACTCCAATCATGTAGTTGCCCAGGGTATGCTGATGCCAGAGAGTTCTCTTTGAGCCAATGTGTCAGTGAGGAGATTTATTGAGAGTTCTCTTTGAGCCATTGTGTCCAGGGTATGTAACGATGAGTCGATGTTAGAGAGTTCTCTTTTGAGCCATTTTGTCCAGGCAAACAGTTGTCAACAGACACACTTAGTAGTTGTTGCTGCTGTTGTCATCGACTCGTTGTTACATTGTTGTTGTTGTGGAATTTTCAACAAGATATTAGAAAGAAAAAGCTGAGTGATGTGTACGGAGGCAGCCGCTTAACATCAATCTCTTGGACCTTAAACCGCCAGTACGCAGCCCCAGCCTTGCTGAAAAGAAACCCATCGCATGGTCCGAAAAGTTTGCCGAAAAGAAACCCATCGCATGGTCCGAAAAGTTTGCCGCTGGTGCGACGTTGATATGCCGCCCATGAATGCCATCAATTGCTGGCGTTGTGTTTCGGGCCTCGGAGACGCACGGTGAGGGGCCCGCGGCCGATGTATGTCCTTGTACTGGTGGTTCAAGGAAGCTGTAGATGCATTCGAGTGTGGGAAGGTCGTGTGGTGTTGCCTGTTGTCGCATGGTCCAAAAAATCCGGTGTGCCATCGATGAATTCCGTCAATGGCCCGTGTCGTGTTTCGGGCCTCTGTGACTCGCGGTGAAGGGCCTGCCGCCGATGTATGGCCGTGTACTGGTGGTTTAAGGAAGCTGTAGATGCATTCGAGTGTGGGGAGGTAGTGTGGTGTTGCCTGTGGTCTTGTGGTTGGCCGATGAAGCCCTTTGTCCATAGACACAGATTCATTCCACTCCTTGGGGGTTGCGCGTTATGCTGGTTATCAGCTGTAATTCATGAGCTGCACTTGGTCTGTAGGTTTTGGCCTCTTCCAGCTTTCTGTATTAGACCATGGGGCTCACTGCAGTGCTCACCAAATGTGCAAAATGAGAACGAATCTTCTCTTTCGAATATGGTATAAGATACACGGCCAATGGCCATATTTTTTGTCTTTTGTGCATGTGGTGAGTAGTGGAGCGAGGCCGTATGTTGAATGGGCAGTGCAAATGCGATTGTTCTGCAGAGCTTCCAGCGTCTACAACTGGAGCATTGACGTTATTGACATGCACTGAAGAACTAGCGGGCGTCTCCTTGATTTTGGAATAACGTGATCGAGACTTGTTGTCTCTACCAGTATCCGCAGCCAAGCCTACCGTCTCCCCTGGAATAGAACATACTGTCATGTCATGATTTTTGCACTTGGTCTGTATTTAGGCTCAATCTTGCCTGCACTTGGTCTGTATCTAGGCTCAATGTTGCCCAAAATACACGGCAGCTTTAATGACCGTCGTTCAATTCATGGGGTCGAGGGCAGTGTCCACTACTGCCCTGCACTTAGCATCTTTGGTAAATATCAGTGAAGAGAATAAGGAACCCAGACAAAAAAAAAAAAGAAAAGAAAAAAAAAGAGAGACATTGGAGAACGACTGTGATTCCGAACTATTGCGGGAAGCACTGGGAACCCTCTGGTCTCTTAAAAAAATATGTTTTTTTTTTTTCACCAAAAAAAAAGAAAAGAAAAAAAAAAAGTTTTTACTGCTCTAGTGCCCAAAGTGGCTTGGGTCACTTCGGACAAAACCATGAAATCTTGAAAAAAAGGCAGACCAGAATTCGAATTCCGGCGGAACGAGACGAGCCTCTGAGGAAATCTGTTGTAACCTAGGCTACCAGAGTGGCCCGGGGTCAATTGCCCGGCCGGGCCAAAAAATAAATAAAAATAAAAACATTATTTCTAGAATTTATTTTTTATTCTAAATTTGGTGAAGAATTTCGATGTGACCCCGGGGCAAAAGTTGTTCAGTTAATTTTTTTGCATAACATAGGTTTTTTTCAGATTTTTTGGAATTTGTTTTTCTTTTTTTTTTTTTTGCTGGGACCGTCCCTGGTCCTTGCACGGGCTGGCCACTCGGGACCCGGGCGGCCCGGCTGGTAGCCTAGGTTCTAACAGTTGTAACCGATCTCACCAACTGGCTTGGCTCAGTTTGGAGGAAACATGAACTCTTGAAAGACGGACCGGAGTTCGAATTCCAGGGGAATTGGATGAGTATATAAATAACTCTTTCCATGGGGCCGGTCAGTGCAGATCAGATCTCAACAAGGGTGTCGTCGTTTAAGGTTTGAAAACAAGTCTCATTTAAAAACCATCCTGTGTGTGTTTTTAACTTGTAACCATTCTGTTACTTTTTTCTGTAAGGTTTGTGACAGGCGTGTCCTTCGGGACGTCTGTTAAAATTGGAATGATACAGAGAAAGAGAAGATTAGCATGGCCCCTGATCAGTTTAATATCTGATCCGTGGTCCATCGGACCACACGATATTAAATTATTTTTTCTGGGCCAAGGAGGGGTCGTACGGGTAAGCTTGCTTACTCAACCCCTGCAGTGTTGACTCTGTATTGCACTGCAGCAGAGTGCSGCGCAGCCCTTTACAAAAAAAAAAAAAAAAAAGGATGACACGCATAAATCGAGAAATGGTCTAAAATGAATAAAAAAAAAATAAAAAAAAAAAGAAGATTTGTGACAGGCGTATGGTGATGGTAACCACATTCGCGGACTGTGAAGTTGTAAGACCCTTTTCTGCTCGAGAAAAAGGTCATCTGCGCTATGTGGACAAAGAGCTTCTGCGTTGCCGCTCTCAGAGAGTTCTGGCACATTGGAGGTTTCCTTTCTGGTGCAGAAGAGGAGTATTGGCGCGCCTTTCAAACAAAAAAAGGGAAAAAAAAGGGAACTGCCAAACTGGGCAGTCTGCCTGGGGCATTGGAGGTTTTGTTTGCAGAAGAGGAATTGTCGTACGTGAAATCGATCAACAAGTGAAACCCCTGTCTGTGTTGTTGTGAACCCGGCCGTGGTTGCTTGCCTGGGTGGGCCAGGCCTAACAAGGGCCAGCCAGGGAAGGACCCTGTAAAAGAAAAAGAAAAAAAAAATCAACATATCCTGGCCCCTGTAAAAGGGAAAAAAAAAT